GTCAATCAAGAAATCAAGCATCTTGATAATGTCAGTTTCAGAGAATTTTTTGTTTGAATCAGAGTGATTCTTTACAAAGTAGGATTTATCCCTCTCCAAGACAAGATACTTGTATCTACGTTCGCCATTCTTTTTAATGAAACAAAGTAATACCAACTCTTTCAATTTGTCTTTTAGTTTGGAATGGGGAATACTTGTGTAAAGTGTAGAAAAGTCAAATGTTTTAATACTATTGCAAGATGAAAGAGTCTTAGATTGTATGTACTCTAAAAGATCTTTGGATTTTTTTAGTATCCACATCTGATTCACGCCACCTCTAAAATAGGCAGTTTCACAATAACTTTGGAGCCCGGCTTTGATTGCTGATAAAATAGATGTTAATAATTTAGAAAGAGGTTTCGTGGAGCACTTTAAATATTCAAAACAACCTGTTATGGACCTGGGGTCTTTTGATATGAGATCCATGTCAAAGTCAACCAGAAGTGACGGAGAGTAAACCGGAAGTAACTTTTTTGACATTTATCTTATGTTTAAGTACCTAGAAACCATATATTTTAAGAATCAGTGTGAATCAAGCTATCATATGTACCGGAAGGGACATTTTGTAAACAAGAAGTAACAAACTATTTTCCTGAGTTCAAGCAAACGTGTAAAGAGACCATACATTTTTTTTCAAATCAGTGTCATGAAACCTAATTTATGACAACGGAAGTGGCATTTCATTCAACGAAAGCATCCAATTACCTACCGTATTTCAAGCAAAAGTATATAAAAAAAACATATATTCTACCCCAAGAATAGATTACCTTAGTTTTGGTCAAACATTATGGAATTTTGGGTCCTCAATGCTATGTAGCTTCGCACTTTATTGGGCCTATGAACTTTATTTGAGTGTCACTGATGAGTCTTTTTTTAGACGAAACGCACGTCTGGCGTACAAAAAAATAAGCCTATTATCTATAATGAGTTCATTTTTCAAATCAGTGAAATGAGAGATATCATATGACAACGAAAGTAGCATTTTGTTGACCGGAAGTAGTTTTGTGTAATATAAGTTTTCTTCTGACATCTTTTTTGTTAACGAAGGTTTCTGTTTCTTTCATTAAAAAAAATAGCATATCTGTATAAAAGTTCTTTTAAACTTTAATTATCAACATGTGAGCAGGAAAGTCCTTTCAATTGTTCTCTGAATAATTGTTTTTTTTTAATTTAATGAATGATACGTTTAGTGACAAGGACATGGCTGACGTGATTACAAGACCATTCCATACTCACGCGGAATGATTTTGTTCCTTGTATTCAATTTAAATTCTATCACATATACACAATTGGATTATTTACAGAAAAATACTTCTTTACTTTCTGAAGGGAGGATATATTACATTTTCATATATGAATCTTTTCGTGTAAAAAATTATATTTCCAGGCACTAGCGTTTATAGATTTGACTTTACGATAACCATAATGCCACAAATCAGGAAATTGCAACTTCCAATACTTTTCTGCTTCCTGGCAATTAAAAGTTTTTTTTCTTTATAATTTTAGTATTTTAAGTCATGATTTGCCGAAACTTAAGTTGATGTTTTGTAACGTCAAATTGAATACCCATAATTCAAATATAAAATGGAAATATTTTCGTTGTTTTCAGATTGCCATGAAAGTAAGATAACTGTTTAATTGTATATAAAAACTTGGAATTTTTGTTTTTTTTTCAAAATTGGTCAATTTTTTCACCTCTTATTGATCCGAGAACACAATTGTCGCCTTTTGATTTTCGTTGTCTAGAAATATAGTTCTTAGTGTTGACAGTGTAGTTCTCCCCTATTAATTTCTCCATGTTTTATGCTTACATTATCATTTATGGATTCTTTGTGTTAGATACATACACTGTAAATGAAATCCATGTAATGTGAACATGTTCGCGCGTAACGTATTAACATACGCATATTTAAACGCTAAACGATCGGAGCAGAGGGTTTATTACTACAGAGAAATGGAAAGTAGACATCAGATAAACTGATACATCACGTGTTTCAAAACTCATAGTTTAAAGTCGTCAATCTGTGTTAATTAAAAAGCATAATTCTTAGAATAATTCTATGCTTAATTTTGAACGTTGTTGGTACGCATTTAGTTGAATTATTGATTTTGTTTTAATATATATTGTTTGTATAACCGACAAACAGATAGTGAATTCCTTGCACATATCAAAAGCAAAAAAATCATAATAGGTGATTATTATTTTTATTGTTGAAAAGGTTAAACGTTTTAAATTGCAGTTTCTGATCTTCCAATTTCTTTTATATCAAATTCAGACAGCAAACTTATATTCAAACCGTTTTTTAACAAAGCACAATGCAGATACAACCGATATCAGCCTTTTCCATTCTCAACTGATGGAAGTAGTAAATGTGTGTATTAAAAGTCCTTTGGTAATGAAGAGGGCCAATTGGTATTCCATATATGAGATTTTGAAAATGACACAACCTTTGAATTCGACTACTCAAAAGGGTATATGTATGTTACTAAGACAAGACAAAACTGTAATTGTAAACCTTCAGAAGAGGAGCCCAACAATGTTAGATCTGTTAATTTGCTTTTGCAAATTTTGTGTTCTTCTATATATATACAACTCGTCTAAACATCAGCCCAACAATGTTAGATCTGTAAATTTGCTTTCGCAGATTTTTTGTTCTTCCCTCGCCGGGATTCGAACTCATGCTACTGAGATATCGTGACACCAAATCGCCTGCACTGTATCCGACGCGCTAGACCACACGACCACCTAGGCTATTATCGGATCCTTGAAATTCAAACAAAAATGATACAACTTTATAATGACAAATTTGAGGTGAGAAGTTGCAGTTTGAAGAGGTTTTCTGATATTCTTTGCACAATGTAAAAAATACGTACTGCATACGACATGATGATTATTCTTAGGTTCAGGTCAAAGGGGTAAGTGTACCGACCTCTGTGTTATGGTTGCTTAACATCTGTTATTAGAGTCATTAGTGACCGAAAGAGAAATCTCAAGCAGACGTGATTATATTAATTCATTGATTAAGGTTCAGCATAACTTTTAAGCAAATATGGCCGTATTTACACCACAAATTAGACTCTGGGTACAAACAAACCCGTGCATCTGGAAAAGTTATAGAGAATGGCTGAACCTAGATATATAAAATTTGAATGTATTTTAAGTACTAGAATTTTAAAAACTTAACTGGATTTTGCTATCAATTTTTTTGTTCAATCCTGCAGAAGGTGCTAAAACAAATTTAGTTGGGAAACAGGGTTGAGAAGCTCCCCTCATTTAAACTATTGAAGTGTCGTCAGCCTATTCATTAACCGTAGATTATTATTCTAGAATCAACGCTTTCGAAACCTGTCGCTTAAATAAACTCACCAAATTATATTCAATTGTTTCATTTGTGTGCCTAATTTCATTAAGTTTGAATTGGCTAATTTACTGATTTCTGTTCACTAATGGAATTAATTTTAAAACTTACCTTAAATTTTTGTAATTTTTATATGCCTTCACTGGGAATCGAACCCCTCTTGTAATCTATTATGTGTGACTGACATCAACACATCGACGAAATTTCTCGACTACCAATGGGTCGCAATTCAAATGTCTATTTTATATATATAAATGAACATATCATACACATCGGTACAAGGAACACACAGGGATTGTACCTTTATGTATACATAATAGACAATCGTATAGTATAAGTTTGTAGCCGCGAGGTTAACATGGTTCAGATCAATGAGTTAAAGAGTCAAGTTAAAGGTAGAGACTTGTCTGTTTAGGTTTGAATCCCGGTATTCTCTTCGTTATCCCTATTCTTTAGTTTTTCCGTTTTTCTTATTTGTATGTTATTGTGGATATTTTTGTAATAATAGCGGGTTTTCTTGTTTCTTTTGGATTATTATTGGCTATTTCACATATTTAAAAAGTAAATGATTACATTCAATTTGTCCATTTTTATTTTATAAATATAGTATGCTTTGATCTGTTTACTACATATCTTTACAAATGTGTCGTCCCAAATCCCTATGCGAGTAAATCGTGATGTGCCTAGAATTAGGCTTCTTGCTAGAAATTTGGTAGCATAATTATTATATATACTTAGAAATAAGTTCGAATATGTCTTATTTTGTAAATTACGGATGATATTCAGATGCCTGCTAATTTAAAGACAGACGTGTTATGTTATATTTGTATTTCTCTAACCAATTAATTGTGAACTTAAATTTATTAAGGCATCGTTGAACATGATAACATGGTAATTCAAACTCACTTACAAATAAACTCATCATAGGTACCAGGATTGAAATTTTGTATTTGCGCCAGACGCGCGTTTCGTCTACAATAGACTCATCAGTGACGCTCGAATCAAAAAAAAGGTTAAAAAGGCCAAATAAAGTACGAAGTTGAAGAGCATTGAGGACTAAAAATTCCTAACCGTTTTGACAAATACAGCTAAGTAATCTATTACTGAGGTAGAAAAGCTTTAGTATTTCAAAAATGTAAAATTTTATTAACAGTTAATTTATAGTTATGACCATATCAGTGATAATTCATGTCAACACAGGAGTGCTGACTACTTGGCTGGTGATACCCTTGGGGAATAAAAACGCCACCAACAGTGGCATCGACCCAGCGGTTGTAAATAAACTCACCATAGATACCAGGATTGAAATATTTTGTAATTGCGCCAGACGCGCGTTTCTTCTACAAAAGACTCATCAGTGAGCTCGAATAAAAAAAGGTTAAAACACAATATTTTAAGTTATAGATACAATAGATAAACGTTGATTAATGAAAAACAAACCGTTCGCCCTCCGGGCTCATGGTTTCTTTTTCAAGAATCAACGCTTATTCATTGTATCTATAATACATAATAAATGTTGTGAGTTGTATTGATTTAAATAGACAAAAGATATCTGCAAACAATAGGTGATTTAAACTGTGTAACTGAGATGACCGTATCAAATGAAACTTAAGTGTTTGTTAATTTTGCTATCTTCTGCAGACTGGAAATAATGCACATAAAAATCCAGGTAAGTTTTTAATTTTCTGGAACATAAACTATATATAACTTTTATATATCTAGGTCTAGCCATGCCGTAAAATTTTCCTAGACGCATCGGTTTGTCTGCAATTGTATCTTTTGTCAGGTGCTTGTGTCATGTAGTTTCACATATGGCGGCTTGCCAGAAATGGTGTATGCGCAGGTGTATGCTATGTTGCTATGCATAATTTTAGTCGTATGAGTTCAACTTAAGATTAAATCTTACGAATAATCTTACGTGTAAACTAAATCTTACGATTGCTTTAGTGAAAATGACTTAAGACTTCTCTTACGATACTCGTAAGATTTGTGAAAAGATTTGCTGACTGTTAAACGATGAACGTTATCTGTTCTCTGTAACATTTGTTTATGAGAATAAAGTATTCATTCTTATCTGTGCAGTTTCAAGGTAAATGAAATAAGTGTATAGGGGTTTAAGATTAGTGTAGTAAGGATTGCATGAATTTTTCGAATTTCAACGATATTTGATATGGTATGTATTTACAGTACATATCTTTATAAAAACAAGATGGTGAGGTATAAATTAGAGGGGGACAGCTCTCTGATGAGAAAACAATACAACCAATAGTTTTAAAATTTCTTAGTTTTATTGACAATAACCTGTTAAGCCTTGTATCTTTGATGAGTTTTTTACAACCACAGGGTCAAGGCCACTCTGGTGGATGTTTCCTCCCCGAAGGAATCTCCAGCTCAGTAGTCAGTACTTCTGTGTTGACATGAATTGATATTGTCATATTTATGAATTTAATGTTTACAAAACTTTAAATTGTTCGAAAAACTAAGAATTTTCTGTCCCAAGAATAGATTTCCTTAGCTGCATTTGACAAAATCTTTCGCATTTTTGGCCCTTAATGCTCATCAACTTCATCTTTATTTGGTCTTTAACATTTTTGGATTCGAGCGTCACTGATGAGTCTTTTGTGGACGAAACGCGCGTCTGGCATACAAAATTGTAATCCTGATATTATTGATGAGTTGTTTAAAGAAAAAATTTAATCTAGGTACGTGTAAACAAACACACCGGCCATAACTTTGTCATTTCATTTGACCCATATAATTAAGTCTTCTCAATGGATGAATTTTAAAAACTTCGATTTAAAATTTAGTACAGAACAGTAAAAAATAATTGTTGTTATAAGTTCAAAAGGCATTGCAAGCACGCCAGAATGTGAAAGATGCATACGATTTACTTATTTTCAAGCATATTCATATTATTTATTTCAAGACTACAAGACTTTAATATAGGGAAAAAATTCGGATCATTGATATAAAAATAAGGGTATGTGGTATTAGGCGTTTGTCAGATAGAACTATGTCATCTTTTCGTTGATTTTATAAAATCGATTTGTGAGAATGCATCTTTAAGAAGAAAATGCTTACACTTTACCTAATCAGTTGTAACTTTTGTTTTACTTCTTGTCTTAAATTTATCACATTTTCAGGTATCATTTGCTTGCCAATCGTGTATTCTATATATTCAAAATACATAAGAATGAATAATGAACACTTATGATCTACATCTTGTCGACACATATATGTTGGCGTTTCACAAGGTTGTGATCTTCTGGGCTGAATTGATAAAAACCAAGAAAATGGCGAAAAATAGCGTACCGTCTTGCTTGTATTATTATTTATCGAAATGTTATTATGTTATTTGTTTTGGGTTCCTTACTTATTACCCCGATTGTGACCTTTTGACTGAATGTGAAATTGCATGGCGAGTGATGCATGCTTACCCTGTCGACGTACCCGGCCTCGCTCCTTTTGGAGTCTATGAAATTTTATCAGTTTTTGTCTCGCCTGCGACGAACTTTGCATGAACTTAATAAGGCGCGAGGCCAAATGCGAAAGGTTTTGACAAATACAGCTAAAAAAAGTCTATTCCTAGGACACGACATCCTTAGTTTTTAAAACAATTCAAAGTTTTGTAAACATTTTATTCATAAATATCAGGTAATGGTCCAGTCACTTTCAATTAAAAAGAAATTTTCAATGTTTGGTTTTCTGATTAATAAGGTTATAAAAACAAGGAGATGTGGTATGATTGTCAAGTTCAAATGAAGTGGATGTAAGCAATTATAGGCAAAAGTACGGCCTTCATAGATGAGAAAAGGCCCCGACATGTAAAATATGAAACAATTCAATTGAAAAATTTAACGGCCTAATGTATAACAAAACAAATTACGAAAAACAAATATAACACACATGAACCAACGACAACCACTGAACTACAGGCTCCTGACTTGGGACATGCACATTAATAATGTGGCGAGGTTAAACATGTTTGTGAGCGCCATCCCTCCCCTAACTGGGACAGCGGTGTTACAGCATAAGAACAAACTATAAAAATCAGTAGATACTTAAATCCTAAAATCTTAAAACAATTGATAATACCTCATCAGGATTGCCCATGAAAGCCAAACGGCATATTTCCAAAGGGGTCCGTTTATGTTACATTCTTAAAAATATTAAATATAGTTATAAGAAATTATAACTTTGACAGGTTTTATACTTATTATGTTAAAATTATAATTTACGATGATAATAATAGGCTAGTGTGACAGTAATTGAGATCCAGGTGCCAAAACTATGTAATCATTCATCACAATTGACTAAAGAATTCAAACAAACATACAAATAAATCTAAGAAAGACTAAAAAGGGTTGTAGTTAATAGTAGATTTGACAAAGAAGCCAACAAAAAGGATTTGTAATCGATAGTAGATTGACAAAGACGTCCATTAAAAAAGTTTTTGAAGTTCACAGTAGTTATATTCTATCCCATAAGGGAGTGACCCTTAAAAAGGGTGAAAATACCATACTGGTGACAGTTACATACCGCAAATAGTATATTCTCTCTCGATAAATAATAGATACTAAGTAAATATACAGAATGTATATATTTGTAAATACCTGTGGGATTGGCATTGATTTGATAGGGGCTATATACACTACGCCAGCACGATTTATAGAATCCATGACTGTGATTGTGTTGCAGTTGTACGTCACGCTATTAACCTTTTAAACACTTTGCGTATTCGAAAAAGTAAAATAACAAAAATACCGAACTCCAAAAGTTCGAAGACATCAAATGAGTGGAAAATAACTGTCATATTCTTGACTTGGTACAGGCATTTCCTGATGTAGAAAATGGTGGATTAAACCTGGTCTAATAGCTAGCTAAACCTCTCACTTGTATGACAGTCGCATAAAATTCCATTATATTGACAACAATGTGTGAACAAAAGAAACAGATATAATAGATACAAATGTCAAAAATAGGGGTACAGCAGTCAACATTGTGTTATAATCTTAATCACTTTAAAAACAAGCAAATATGTCAACAAAGAAAAACAAAATGGCATATAGACAAAGCATAAAGGAAAAATGAAAGACAAGAATACAAAAAATTACCATAGCACAATAACACAATGGCGGGATGTATAAGTACCAAGCCACGCCAAAAGGATATTACCAAGAATTGACTAAACAGTGAAGGTTAATAATTTACAAAGACAAATAAAAGAACACTATAACACGTAATAAACAACGTCAGTACCTAGAATCTATACTTCAAGACCATCATGCATTATTTGTGAAGTTGATACGGAATATTTATCAACAAGGTCTTGGTATCTTAAGCTTCTTTCTATGAACTTTTTTAGAAAAAGGACGAGACGTTCATTGACATAACCCTGTTTCATCAACTTTCAGCTCAGACACAACAAGTTTTTAGGGGTGTTGTGGATAACCCTAGTAAATGAAATCTTCTAGCTGTGGTAGACCCCATCGTTTGTCATGTGAAACTTTCCCTGGCCTAGGAATGCCCGTGAGAAGACCATAATTCATATATTAATTTAAACTGTTGTAGTAGAGTAAATTATGTCTTTCCTTTCATCTTTATATGTCACTTTTGTCCAGAAAAGGTCACATTATAATACTGAAAATGCATTGTCATGGCAAAAACAACCTAGAGAACTGACGATGCGGAAGGGACCCGCTTGCACATTTTTGTAAAAATGCGCAGAATCAAATAGCCAAAGCAACTCATTTGATAGGGTAAATAAATTTTGAAACAAACAAAAAAATCAGATCTTAGTAAGTTTCAAGGTTCGCTACAACCGAGCTGACTAAGATTGTTTTATATCTATGTTTGTTACTATTTCAAAAATGATGGCCCGCTTATAGTTATTAACACAAGGACTCAATCTAAAATATGAAATTATATTTATATATCAAGTTGTATTTTCACAAAAAGATGTTTTTCAAAATCTATCATCTTTAGCATGTTTAGCAAAAAACGAGATTCGCCGAAAAGCAAACACTATCATCCATTTAAAAAATCATAATATTACTTTATTTCAATTTTTGTCGCAAACCTACCACAGAAATATGTTTCATAAGATTTGTGATTTTATTTTTAACAAAAATTAAGATTTTACAAAACATGATTTCCTCATTTAAAGGGTTATTCGCTGTCAAATTCATGTTCACCGGTTTGACTCAAATTCTCATAGTTGATTTATAACATACTAAAACGTATATCTCAATTATAAAAAGTCAAAAATAAACAATTTACAATGCATGGGCTCGATAATATGTATTATCATTTCGTGTGTATTTTAGTCTAGACGCCATCTAATTAACCATCGAGGTGACCTCTGAAGACTGCCGACGGTCATATAAGCCGATATAAACATAAATATAGATATAAATAGATAGCGAACTGCTGCAATTGGATTTTGTTCTATGTCTGTTTGATTTCATATTATAGGTTAAAGATGTATGTTACCGTAAATTCAGAAATTATTGCGATGTTTTTATTATTGCGAAAAATGCGTTAGGGTTATAATCGCAATAAGTAAAACTCGCATTTTGAAATTTTTTATATGAATTAAACAGGATTTTTCTCAATATCGCAAAAAAAAAAATTAAAATCGCATTTTAGTCTAAAATGACAAAATCGCAA